AGAATACATTTGTGAATTGATTCCGAATATTTACGTGCAACAATTCACCTTTACCTCACAATTCAATGATTCGCGAAAAAATCTGCAGTCAATAAACCATTGTGTTTCATGTAATGGTTCGAAACAGCAGCAGTTAATTAACGAAGATCGACCAAATCAGTTATAAAACACAATGAATGCACTGAATCAATAATCACAAAGACTCAAATAATTTGAAGTGTTTTTTGCATTCGCATGCTCAGACACAAACTCCAATAAAGTTGTGCTTATGTCTTTCGTTTCAGTGTTCACTTCCATACCACTTCACTCCCATAATGTCCATTCTGGGATGATGCTCGTCAATCTGGCTAGTCATTCGAAAAACTGACTGCACTCATTCTGCCACTTCAGAATGGAATGAATATCCAACGCGTTCTCGACTATCCTCAACAATTCAAAACGTGACCAACTAATTCTATGCGGAGGATAATTTGTATCGATTGGAATCGTTTTAAAGACAACAACAAATGAAACATTTAATGCATAAGAACAACAACAACAACAATACATCAACACTCTGTACAACTGCACTAAAGAGTATTAGCAAAATGAAATAAAACACAATCAACTGATCGAATGTCAATCAAAATGTATCCATAATGCTTGCAACAATAATCATTTATTCATTAAACAAAATACGACCACTAACGCATCTCTTTATATCGAACATTCCCCATTCACGCCGAATCGCACTGACCAAAGCCATTTCAGAATATCTTCTTGAACGTCTCAACAAATGGACGCATTTTTTAAGAGAAAATTCATGAAATTTAGAATAAATTTCATCCAACTGTTATGTGCTTCGACGACTGCGTGCAATTTACTTCCACTTGAAGAACTCTACCAAAACACATCTATTTTAGGGGAAATACCACTATTTTACTTCTAAGAAGATGATGATTAAGGTATCATAATACTATCGAAACTTCATAATGATCAATACATCACCGCTGCATAACATCAGCAAGAAGTTTTGAAATGGATATGATGCAGAAATTCAAAAACTAAATGAACGAGAAACAGCTCCGATAATGTAAAAGAATGAAATAGCAAAAGCGAATGAATAGAATAAATAAAAATATCGAATGCAACTTGTCAAAATTTAAAACAGAAACGACGAAAACAACGACATCAATTCCATATCAACGTCTATACAAATAGCACTTTCAAATAGGTATTATAAAAAGGAACACAACCACATTCAGAAACAAATTATTTAAATTATTCTGAAAAAGTACAATCACAAAATAATAGCCAAACAATTGAATATCGGTCGAACAACAATAACGATAATGTTGCAAGGTAGCAAATCGAATAAGGAACGAAGCATCAACTATCCAGACCAGAATGGACAATCAACTTCGGATAACCCGAGATGATGGACGAAGTATGTCGTCACCCGGCAAGAGATCGATAAATAAACGATCATACGACGATCAATCACCAAATTTGACCGCATCAAATTTGAGTGCAAATCCAGTTGAAGCTGTTTTCGCGGGTGGTTCCACTCTCAACTCGCGATACAATTTCGCATCCTGGATCTGCAAACGATCACTACGCTTTCAAACAAACAACTAGCAAAGCTATCAATTGCAACTGCAATGAATTAAATGAATCCATTCAAATGAGTCTAATTCCAGCTTTTGCGCGATAATTCCGTTTAAATGATGAAATATGAGTAGAGAACCATCCATTTTTCAACAATGCCGAATCAACTGAATAGGGAACCGCTTTCACAATGAACAAAAGAAATTCTTTGCTTGCATATGAACAGCTTGATGAAGAAAAAAAGGAAAAAAAAGAATAGTGAACAAGTAAAATATTGTGATAAGTGAGACGAAGCAACAAAGTAAATACTCACATCTTTGGGATTTGATGGTGCCTTAGTGATAGGGCTCTTGACAACAGCCCTACCAAGTTCGCTTTTTGCTGGCCATGTTGGGAAGAGTTCAGGTGGTGTTGGTGGTGGATCCTCATCGAACCAGATATGCGTCAACGCTTGATGCGCAGTTAAGCGCTTCTGAGGATCATACCGCAACAATCTGAATTCAACAATCCATCTAATCGCACTCACTACACCTCCAAAATACTAAGAGAAAGATGGCTGAATTGACTCACTCATTCAAAAAGTCGAGTCCTTTCTTATCGACCACATTCGTTGGGAATTTTTTCCATAACTGATTGTATTCGTGGTGCTCGAATTTCATCTTTCTTGAACCAGGCAACTCATTATAGCCTGGCCATATTTTCTCACTTGGCGTACCCAGTTCCTGCAGTCATTTCACATAATGAAATGCTCGAAGCCAATGACCGTCCTCATATATAGTAATATTATATGAATGTTATTCCAACAGATGAATCAAAATGTAAAAGATCGTTAAAGGCATAGATTTCTAGACAGATTTTAAAGCCAGTTTGAATTTTCAAACGCTTCGAAAGTAGAGGTGAAAAGAAATCTGAAAGTTCTACAAAATAACACAGAAAATAACTGTGACAACATATTTGGAAAAAAGATCGAGTCTCACCAGAAATATCTTATTAATTTGATCGAGTTCTCCTTTCCCCGGGAAAAGTGGCTTTAACCGGAGAAATTCGGCAAAAATACATCCACACGACCACATATCAACCGACTTCGAATATTCCTTGAATAAATAATACATTAATCAATGATCAGTGAGTATCAAACCGGACTGATAATACTTCACTGAGTTGATATCGAAATCAATCAGGGTAACACTATTTCAATTCATCGCCCAGTAATCGTCTGAATGTCCGCATGGAACCTTAACAGTAAAAGAGAGAACCTTCACTCCGAGTAACAATTCCGGTGAACGATACCATAACGTAACCACAATTGGAGTATACGCTTTTAATGGATCGCCGAATTCCCGAGCCAAACCAAAGTCGCCGATCTGAAAACATGAACACCCACTTGATTATCAAAGCCCATAGTAATGTTCGAAGCGATAACAATATTGTTAACAAACTATAATTCTGGTCAAATAATGAATTTTCTAAAAGCATCGCGCACGTACCTTGAGGATACCTTTGTGTGATAATAAAAGATTCGACGTTTTGAGGTCACGATGAAGGATCCACTGATCATGCATATGAGCAACACCTGACAAGAGTTGATGCAACAGCGTCTTCACCTGACCTTAAAGAACGACTTTATTCTTCCTGGCTGGAATATCAATAATATCAGCATTTAAGATGGCATAATCCACCTCAGATACAGTATGATTAGCTGCCTTTTCTTGCAACTTCACTCGTCGTCGTTGTTGAAAAGTACTCACAAATAAAAACGTCCAAATACTGCATTTCAAATGCACCGAAGAAAGAATACGATCGGAAAAGAGAANGACTGACCAATTGTGAAATGTTTTTTACGTGAATGCATCAAATCCATAAGACTTTTCATATCGTGCTCAACATACTCCATTACCAAATAAATCTTATCCATAGTCGATCCAACTACAATCTCCTGTAAACTAGTAATCTATAATGCGGAACGCTGAGCGCCTCATTACAAATTCGATAAGATCAATTTATGATTCCTTGACGGAGTCGTAAAGAGACGATAATAAAAACGAAAAATTGTACCCTGACGTTGACAATATTAGGATGATTGCCAGCTTTCAAAAGCATGTTGATCTCTCGTAATGAAGTTATCGGAAAACCTTCTTTTTCTTTTTCCATTTTCAACCGCTTCAGTGCTACCACTTCGTCTGAAACATTTACAACTGATGAGTGCTGAAAACAGAACTTATGTAACACGCGAGGTTTCATTTCGTAATAACAGCAAGATTGTAAAGTAAAAGCAAGCGGCTGTTACACACAGACCAGTTTTTTTCTCCTTGGCTCTGTAGACTACCCCAAATGTACCCTCTTCGATGCGATTCAAACACTCGAATTCGGCCACATTTCTACATCCACTTATTCCTGGATAATAGACTGGTAGTTTTGCAATCAAACGCTGTTGCTGCTCGGCTTCTAACCTGCAAAATTGACCAATATTGTTCATTAAAGAATTTCATTAAAAGACGAAGAGAGCNCTCATATCGAATTCAAAATTCGATCGCTCAACTGAATGATGCATAACGCAATAATTCAACGAATCTCACTTGAACATGAACTGAACTGCTAAGAACTTATACAGCTATCGCAAGCATCACTATCTAATTACAATCATCGAAATTCACCCACCTCTCTCTGGTATCAGGCGAGTACTGAGCAAGCTTCTCTTCGTCGAACTCCTCCTCCTCACCTACACTCTCCATCTCATCATCACTAGCACGTAGTATCACATCACTTTCTGCTTCTAAAAACGACCTTTTTCATCTATATATCTATTAACTCAGAACTCGATAGCCTTTCAAGTGAACTGCTACTGTACTGAATTCACGTGCATTGATCGAACCACTAATCCTTTATATTCATTCATCAATATTGGGCCAAACCAATCACTGATCAAGATAATATCGGTAGTACCAAAATTACTTACCGGAATCGGTTGTGGTCGTTATTGCGTTGCTAGCTAGGTTTTCTTCAATCACTTTTGACTTCTCCTCTTCTTCAGGACTACTGTCAAACTTTGAATACTTTGAGGGCCCACCCGATGGTGACGCTAAAAATAAATAAACATTACATACAATCGTAAAAAGAGGTGATGAAACTTGGCTTTAGTCTAGCAGTAACAAAACAGAAGCGCCTAAGGGGGATCCTTAACGTTTCATTCAAACATCGGATCCCATGAACTCGATATTTCTGCTTTAACATGTGTGTTAAATGGTAACTAGAAAAGACTAACATAAATTCTACAGACTTACGTTCATGATCAGATTTTCGTACGCTATTTTTTTCGCCTTCGTTATCGGATTTGGACACTTCCTGAACATCATTCACTTTATCTGAGTCAATTTCCTTTGCACTATTCGCAACTGCTGTGACAACCAGCTTCACTTTATGCTCGGGTTGTGTCTCTATAACATTCGCAGTACCACCATCTGCAATATAAGCATATTACATCTTAAATAAACAACCACAACACCTCGTGCCATTGACAAAGTGTGACTTAATTTCACAATTTCAAGCTTCGCTTCCTTCGCAATTATCATATATTCAACAACTCAGTGGATATATCATTGTACAGGAGGATGATAATATCGAATTGATAACACATAAAAACATCACACAACAACTTCAATCACAGTTGTCTACAAAACATCATCTTAAACGCTTTCCGAACAAACTTCAGTTAGTTATTTACATAAGGCGATTTTATGAAGAGAAACAGGAATTCAGCAATCAAATGATACCAGAATATGCGGTCTCTGATTTGACTGGTGCATCTTGTCGTTCCACGAGTGTCTTCTTCGCTGGTGGCATTTCAGGTTTCGAATTTCGTTGTTTTGATGCGATTGGGGAGGCATCTCGTTTGCGTGGAGATCTTCTTAATTAACCATAATGGACTTTTCGATTAGTGAACATTAAGACTGTTTGAGATGACGACTCATGGTAAAACACATCAATCAGTGGGTATTCAAAATGTATAATTTCACGAACAAGCAAATAGTGATTAAATGAGAACGTAAGGAACGAGTGTCAAAAAGTGTTGAAGGTACATAACAGATGACTGCTTCCATACTCACATCCGATATGCATCTTTCGAGTGTCGTTCCACCTTTATGTTGTCCACCTCTCGACCACTCTTCTCCTTACGAATCTTTTCGCTGGATGAACGCGGTAAAGCTGCTTTTGACTCTGGCATCTGAACTCGTCCCGCTAAACGAACAAACTCCCGAACACCGCCAGTCGCTAGTTGCTTGCCTGATGAATGTCGCGAACGATCCTCCAAACAAATTTCGGATAATGTCTAAAATTTTTGTTGATGAAATAAACATTAACAATTTCTCAAAGCCGCACGATCTCTTTCCTGTCAAAGATGTGCATTATGACAATATCATAACTCGGTTAAAACATTCAACATTCAAACAACATGAATATAAATCAAGTCTCAAATCCGCAGTGACCTACGCACAATAGTATCTCTATTATTCGAGAAAACTGAAGCCGTTTGGAAGATATCAAGAGATTGTTCGTCTGATGAATCAGCTAATTTCCGGAAACACTGTAGTGAAAATTGCGTAGAAACTAGCACTCACCTCACGTATTTCATAGTCACGTTTGTATTTCTCCCGATCCCTATCCCTAAAACGTTGCTGTTCTTGTTGCTGTTGTTGGTGTTTCTCACGTTTTCTTTCCTTTCGTCTGTGCCGTTCCTCCTTACTTGGACGCTGTTCATCACGCCGGTGTGTCCTATCCAAAACAGTTCGAGCACTACGATCTCGATCTCGATCCCGTTCACGTTCAGCACTTAATCTTATCGATGAATGAACTCGGTCTTTAGTTGCCTGAAATCACAAACTGTCTCGGGTTGATCGATGTCGCTCGCCGTTATCACCAACGCGCACACCTTGCCATCGTATTCTGAAGTTGACTGAAATGCATATTCACTGTTCACAGCTGATCCAATTCATTTGGTGCTGTTGAAAATTGATTGGTAGACAGGTTCAAGCAAGCATTTACGAAGCGATCATCTTGTTCCAAATTGTTGCAGTCAATTCAGCAAACAGCAATTCTATTCAATAATACTTACCGCGTCTTTCGGCTGCATCGAGAACATCTCTTCATCGTCGTTTACGGCATCCACGGCACTACGTTTCGGAGATGTTTTCTTCACTGCTTGCGGCGACAACAAACGATCATGTTTTCGTTTTTCATATCTTCTGTCCACTTCATCGCCACGAGTTGGCATTGGTGGTGAACTCGGTTCCAGCGTATTGCCTGATGAGGTTGCCGCCACTGCTCGTTTCTCTAATAATTTTCTTCGTAACCGCATTTCTTCATCTTCTTAATGAATACTATTATTATTGTCTTTTAAATGACAACAATCAAGTCAGGCACAGTACTGAGTTCATCAAAAATAACCATCAACATCACGTAACTACCCATTTTTTCACGAGTCATCAAAAGGTGCTAAAACTTCAACAACGACCAACCATGCTCACTACCATCCGAAATCACATGTTCGTGTTCACTGCCATCAATATTTTCCGCGTCTGCATCACTCAAAATGCCACCAGAAATCGAACCATCACCACGTGAGGACGTTTTTCTTGACTGCGTCTCTTCTGAAATATGGTATAAAATGAGTATAACTAAAATCGAATNGTTCGTGTTCACTGCCATCAATATTTTCCGCGTCTGCATCACTCAAAATGCCACCAGAAATGGAACCATCACCACGTGAGGACGTCTTTCTTGACTGCGTCTCTTCTGAAATATGGTATAAAATGAGTATAACTAAAATCGAATCGAAAATACACTACGTCCAAGAACTTGCATGAAACTTTATAATAAATGTGAGCCGAGATCACAACAAATTTAGCGACAGACATCTTTAGTTCATCAAATTTTGAAAGACGACAGAAACAAAACGGTAAAGTGAAGGTTCAATTTTAGGCATTAATGGTAACTTAGGTCCGAATTCGGTCGACATTCAGGTTCAAAAACTTTCAACTACCACCCACCACTTTCTGCAGCGTTTCTTTCAGCAACATGAGTCGATTCTTCCTCTCTGTCGGTATCCGTACACTGTCCGTCGTCGGAAGGAGAACTCATGACGACCGAAAAATACGGAACTTTTGCGTTCATCAAACGGAACCCTTCAACAACTCCAACTGAAATATCGAAAAACAGATGCATAAGGGTGCAAATTTTTGTAAACCTTTACGCATATATTTGAGATTCGACGCAATTTGAATACAACCAATAATTATCAACAGCACTTCTCAATGATGATTATCGCAACCGAATGTTTGCTAATGACTCCTGAACCGAGAAAACTTGTCGCATAACATCTGGAAGTCTTTTCAATTCGTTCCCCACTGACTTCTATTAATCAAATGGCTTCCAGTTGTTGATCGAAAATCTGACTATTCCACACAACGATGCGCTAAAAAACAAACACCAGTGATCTCCTCATTGATGTGAACAATAAATTCCTATATGGCCGAAAAAAGGATCAAGACTTCAACAACCATATATAAACGACGAAACCAGAACCTGAAACAAACCCCCTCTGCAACCATGCATAAACGAAAATCTCTGTGAAATAATATAAAAACAAAAAAAGTCTTAGAAGATGGTACTGACATTTCGCCAAATTGACATGTGAACATATTGCCATAGATTTTCTCAGCATGTGCAAGGCAACCTGGTCAACATCTTACAGTGTAGCTGGGTACATGGATGTAATCTAGGCGTCGTCTTTCACACCTCTCGAAGCATAGCAAAAAAACAGACACGGAAAGGTATGTGTTTGCGATGGAGAGAGCAAGAAGAGATGAACAATGGGTACGATTGAAGCACAATCAAGTAATGGAAGTATTTGAGGTAGAGCAAACCAAATCTCATGACAAATCACATGCAATGTGGTAAATTTTGAAGCGCATGAAAATCCCTATTAGATTCCATTTTCAGTCCGAAGATCTTGGGAAACTTTTTT